CCCTAAACAGAGCATAAGACATATATTTTACTAGCGATTCGCACAAAAGAAGAGTACATTCCTCATCCATTTGGATAATGTTTGACATTGAGGGATGTCCGGAAGTTGCGCTCTAATGAGTCAACAATCTCCCCACTCCCATCCATCGTCCCAATCGAAAAAAATTGAAATCTAGCGACCGACCTCTCTAGCTCGATAGACAATGACCACTACGCCACCAGAAACTACTTCGATCTTAGTTTGTGCATGAAATTGTTAGAATTGAAAAGAAAATGCTCAAAAAATTCTCCTTAAGGGGGGGAGGAGAGAGATTTAATTTGCTTCAAAAACCAAAGCGAGACCATAAATCATTCAAATTACAAATCGCAACTAGCAGAGTAAAGTGGGTGCTTATGCATACATAAGAGAGTGGATATATATACACAGTGGTAAAATTATTCGAATACGGGTAAATATGTCTCATTTGGGGGGAGAAACCGAATACTAGAGATTGCTTAAAAAACAACAACAAAATAAGAAGAAGAAGAAGCAAAGTAGCACACTTATTTGGCAGAAGACAAAACCACAAAATAAAATATATAAATGGGATCCTCCAATTTGAAAGTACAGCAATAAAAAGGGGGGAATTGAGACGCGTGAGGAGATGGGAAAAAAAGACAGCAGATGAAAGTTTAACTTCCGGATAAATTCTGGAAAGATAAAGATAAAATAACTCCAAGTTTAATGCAAAATTTAACAATTTTTTGTTGTTTTTTTCTAATAAAATTAAACCCGGTACAAATTCAAGCAATTTGGGGTTCTATTCGAGTTTTGTTTAGCTTCACATGCCTCTCAAAGCGCCATTACAGAATTGTGACCTTGAAATTAGTAATGGCAGGTCTTGACAATGTCTGCAGCGATCAGAGGATGCATTCTAAGCTCGAATAACTTGATTCGGTACTTCTTGGCAAGCCATCAAGACTTTATTAATGATTGACTGGGAAGTGAAATTAAATTAACACTTCAATATAATTCGCATAAGCGCAAATCACAAAGCAACGAGGAGGTCTATCAAAAAATGGGACTAAAAGCCATTGAAAAGTTTACAGACACAAAATCAAGAGAACGCTAAAAATTCCAGACTGAAAGTGACCGCAAAACATCGCGCTGAATACTTTTCAGAAAATCCACCTAAGCTGTGGCGCGTTAAGCCACATAGTTTACACAAAATTGAAATTTTCATTAGTTATGCCATCAGAGAAAATGCCAAGGCACAGTTCACGAGATTTTTCATGATGAAAATTAGACGTTTTGATTCATTTGAATCAAATGATTGGAGGACACTTTTACGACTCCATCGTTCATATGTTTATGAGGGAGAGAGAGAGGATAGGTAAAAAGGAATATACTACTGTTAATGCGAAAATAAGTAGAGAGTGAAGGAATCAAATTCGAGCATAGGAAGAGGGATTGAATTTCCTATTCGTACTATTTAAGTTGTACTTCCAGATGCATGCTTTCTGTCACTAATAAGCGGCATTCATAACCGATGAACAATAAGCAGCAGAAATTAGAAAAGTACACAACAGAATAGGTTCTTGGTTTTGAAAATAAACAGCATTCAAGGCTACCTTTCCCTCCGAGATGCATCAAAAAGTCAATTCCCCAGATATAATAAAATGCTTCATGATCCCATGGAGAATAATAATATGAAAATAGTATCGTATTAAATGAAGAGCTATGTGAGACCTTACAACTGCCTTTCGTATTCTAACTTGTTTTTCAACTTTGAGTTGGTTCTGGAAGCTACATTCAGAGAACAAATTTCTCATCATCGTTTAAGCAGCCTTAAATGCGTAATAATTTCTCTAAAATACACATCTACAGCGCAAGCGATAAGAAGAGTAGATGCATAACCTAGTTCTTCATCATACACCTTAACCGTTTGACAAAAAGACTTTTAAGCTAACAAGACACCAACCGAGGTCCAATGCCCCACGGTGCTCATAGGTATGCATTGGAAGAAATCAATAAATAATATATACATATATATATATATATATATATATATATATAATTGCATGTGCTAAGTCTAATAAGTAGCTTGACCGCTTTCATTGAATTTTGCGAGATTATAAATTTTAGCACTACTAAAATAACAACCTGCAGAACTCATCCACAAAATATGCCAAGAATTAGACATTACATTATATGGAAAAAGGCAGTTCAGAACTTTGAAAGAGGACCTACACTTAGAACCCGAAAGAGGAGCGATCGATCAGCACCACAGGAGATGAGGTAAATACAGCGGTTTTCCTCGCACTCATAGAAGAGAGCCGAGTTGACAACTCCAGAATGATCTGCCAGTGTCTGTACACGAGAATAGTCCTGTTGTGGTGCAAAAACGTGAATGACACGATCCCTCGAGGAGGTGCACAACAGAGACATGCCCGGTACTGTGTGAAAAAAAATATATACTTGACATTAAGCCAATAGGAACTGTAGATAAACAGATGTGCATAAAAGTTGCTATCATGGTAACAGGGAAATTCTTTCATACTCGTTGGGGCCAGTGATAATAAATTGACTTAGAACAGACTTATAATAAACTCTCTATCACACCCCCTTATTGACCAAAATAAACCCATGGGGCTGGTCATCTTCAGCACTGGATGATTTTTTTTGACTTCGAGTCCTCGAGAACAAGGCAGACGTACACATTGAATGAAAGTCTATTCAACTACGGTCAGTCGGATGTGCATTAATGAGAAACGAACCATCGATCTCCAATTGATACGTTTAATTTACTGGGATGTATACTAGACGTACTCGTTTGCGAATTCAGAGGCTACGAGTGCAATTCCAATCAGCGGAATGGCCAGCTGCCCTGATCAAGCAAGATTAATGCTAAGGGCCCTGGAATCCGAGTTCCCATGATGTCGCATTCTACCAAGGAGATATGCTGGAAAACGCTTTCCGGCTTGGTCTTGGAAATTCTTACTATTGTTGAGGCTCGTATGTCAATTTTGGAAAATGAATCGTATTCACCATGCATTAGTTTTATTCATACACACTTGAGCAAAAAGAAAAGGTTTAGCAGAAAAGTGAAGCACGATTCACTGAGTGCGATGATAACGAGATCGCACTTATTACTATTATTATTATTGGAAAGGTTATAGTTTTTGCCAATTATATTATAACGACAAATCAATTTACAAACCGTCACCATTAACAGAATGGCTCCAAATAATGAGTAATAGTACAAATGAACCATAGCTCGAATACAGAAACCCAGAGAATAAAATTAATGGTGCCATCTACTTGATAAGAGTATAAGCTTCGATATATTTGAATGCCCTAAACAGAATTCATAAAATTATGTGAATGGAATACACCCCCCCCCCCCCCCCCCCAAGGTACTGGCTCTTGATTTCTGCTCTCTCTACTTACTAAGCAGTGCAAGGGCAAAAGTTGCTGTTGATTAAGTGAAGAAGGACAGCCTAATCTTATTCTTTATCGATTTGGGCAAGTGTGAGGACAGAATATTTCAATTGACAGCCTTGACTATGAAAGTGATTAGTTACGATTCAATGCTCCTAATAGTTCCACACATTTCCTAAATTCTGACGACCGATTTTCACTCGATACCAAGTCGCCGCTGAAACAATTGAAGGGGCGTTTCCGAAATGATGAATAGATAAAGGGGACGGGCTTTTTGCACAATTTTATAACTTCTTTGAGCTCATTCAAATGAAAAACTATTTGCGGATAGCTTAAATAGGGGGTTTCTGACCGATTTACAATGCAATAAGACACTACAATGGATCATAAGGCACCTTAAACTTAAAAAAACAGAAACAAATACGACCGTAGTTACCCCTAGTGTGCTTGGATTCTGTAGCTTTAAGGGTAAAGGATGCCCAGACGGTTAACAAATAGTCTAAATGCTAATGCTGCACACAAAATTTGAATTCAAAATGAATAAATTACAGGAAAAATTGGTTAAGCACTTAAAAAGCGACTGATCTGGAGCATTCGGAGTTAACTGACTTGGATCAGGGATTCCAAAAGGGAAAGGAGTAGATGTCAATTTACTTCCCACCTCGAAATAGACAAACTTTCCACCTCAAGTGGATTCAAGGGAAAAACAGTGAAGTTGATTGCAAGTGAATGTTCACAGAAAAGAATCCGATCCTTATGTACCACCGATATCTCAATGTCAGTCTGTAGTTTTGTAAAGAAACAAGTAAAAGATAAGAGTGCTTGAAACATCGTTTATCAGAATGCTATGTCAAATTTTAACATGGGATTCATTGCAAGTTTCGAAATAGAATCGGCATTTTTTCTTGCAAGCTGAGGAAACGAGTAAAAGCTGAACATCGTGGACCAAATCTCCCTACTACTTCAGCGAGTCATTTCCTTTTAGACTGTATTTATTCAAATCTTAATAAAATCATTACAAATAAACAAAAAAAAACACACACAATCAACTCACTCAGTTTCGACTCAAAGTAGGTGATGGAGAGAATCTCCGCGTCATGAGCTCGGATGCTGTGCAGCAACTTGAAGGTGTTGAAATCGTAGATCCTAAAGAGATAGAAGGAAGGGGAAATGTGCTATCAATCTAATGATTCAAAGAGAAAAAAAGGCCAAAGTCTACTGAAAGCAACAGAGTTTTGAGAAATAAGGAGAGCAAAAAGCCTTTTATTTAATTGTCAAACCACTGGCTATAAAAGTGGTTATCTGATGTATTCAGGCCCTCATGATATTTAGCATAGGAGAAGTTTAACCATTTCTGATAAAAAAATCCACATTGAAAGGTAGCAATTGATAGGGAAAATGTGTCAAATACGAGTCCTCTGCCTTCTTCAGCGACTTTAAAGTCATAAAACCATTGAAGAAGCACACAAGCCTCCCCCCCCCCCTCTAAAAAACCTACTTAAGGAGCTTGATTCATACCCATTTCCGTTATAAAAAGGTTACCCTTCTGAAGACTACCAGGATGCATGAGCCGTTCCCAAATGAGAGAACTGCGGTGGGAAGCTGGGGAACTAAGCAAAATAATTTGGAAGTGGTAGAGAAAAGTGTCAGAGATGGACGATTTAGGGTACGGTGAGACTAAATTTGCCAAACTTATAGGGACATCAAAGTGACTATCAAATAATTCGCTGTTTTAGTTCATTTTTTTTTATGGGAAATAAGATCGCCTCAATGGAGCAGTAGGGATGATACTTTCTGATAGAAATTTTAACGGCACATAATAAATAAACAATTGAATTGACATTGTTAAGCGGCCTACAATGCAATAGATCAAGTTGTTCTATTGTACTCAAGTAATAAAGATATTGCCCCTTCAATCTTCTATGCTCTGCGTAAGCTTAGCGAACCAGATTAGTAGCGTCGTCAGTCCTTAAAATACAAGAGGGCCTTAATGCGATACAACTGAATTGCCAAGTGCATTAGTCAAAAATGTTCAAGACACCTGGCTTGGGGCAAAAAGAGAAGTCAAGCATGAAGCCACTCTTGAATGAAGGCATCAAGGCCCCAGCTTGCCTGCTTGATCCCATCCGTGTATAACCGACTTTTGTCCTAATTAAAAGCATGCGCTTTCGGGTATAAATAGGTTAGAGAAATGGACTTGATCGCTCATAACACTTCTCAAACAAATTGAAATCATATATGCCCAAGAGCATTGGCCGCATGAAAAGGGCAAATAAGCCGAGGTAACACCATTTTTATTTCTTCGTCGTATTTTATTATTCAACTTAAAGTTAATCGATTAGAGCTGGCAAATATTCAGTACAATAGGGGCATTAATAGTAATTGCAATAATTGATACTGTTTGATTAATCGATTTGATAATATTTAGGGACGCAATGGAATGAAAGACTGCAATTTCCATCCACCAGAGGGAATACATCAATGAGACTTCGACTTTAAAAGTGTGGAACAAATTCCATATATAAAAATCTTCGATAGAAAATCAATTAAGCTAGGGTAAAAAGAAATAGAGATTTACACAAAATATAGAAGGGGGAGCACCTACATGAGTTGACCAGACCGATTGCCAACTGCAAGATGACGAGCACGAGGAGAGATGGCCAATGATCGCAAACCATAGCCAGCTCCATTTTGATGAAAAGCTATATTCGCATTACTACTCCATCGACAACTCGAAGCCTGACGCAACGGCGAGGGACTTCCTGGAGCTGAGCAATTCAGCGTACTTCCTTGACCGAAGTAACTTGGTCCAAAACCGTCTGCACTCACAATAAAAATGAATGAAGTTTATGTACCATTAGGAAGGGATACGGAGTAATGTGCATGTTAAATAGAGGTCAAATTTAAAAGAAATTGAATGTAAAAGACAAAGAGATCAAGACGTACTCGTGCCTCGTTCGTCGGAGCAAAGATTCGTGTATTTTGAATCTGTATAGAGAATACTGACCTCCTCCTAAAAATGAGGGAAGGTGGGTAATTTTCAGCGATAAGAACAGAATTTAATTTGCCAAGCAGAGGTGGGCAATAGACTTGCCTACACGTGGTGCACACTGGGCAACGCATACTCATACGGTAAAGTCTATTAACAGGCAGTTGACTTCTGACTTTAAACTACCATGACCCTATTGTATATCATATTCCTCCACATCCACAGAATTCACCTTACTTTACCTTTTATCTGCCTGGGTCTGTCTCTTTTACATCTGTGAATCACAGGGGTGTGCAATAGACTTACCTCCTCGTGGTGCACCCTGGGCAACGTATACTCATACGGAAAAGTCATTTAACTAGCAGTTGACTTCTGACTTCAAACTACCATGACCCCACTGTTTGTCATATTTCACCATTTCCAGAGTACTCATCTTACCTTTTCTTTGCCTTTGTGTCTGTCTGTCTCTTTTACGTCTGTGAAAAATTATTCTGTGTCGCCTCTCGACTTTTTGTCGCTTTGATGTTTCTCCACCTTTCTGTGAAGCCCGAAGTCAGCTAAAGGGCTAATGATAATTATTACAAAACCTGCCATTCGATACAAATAGATTTGTCATACAAATAAAATATGTGCAACCTGATTTTAATTAACAAACGAATCGGGAATTTCAAAATGGCATGTGCATCGAGTAATTAGAAGTCTCGGGTTCGAGGCCCATATGTTAGTACCCAATGAGTAGAATGGCCGACTGCTGATTATCAGGTTGTGCTATAATTCAAGTTTCCAAACAGAAAGCCTCTATCACGATATCTCTCTAACCAAGATGAGTGCTGGAAAACGTTTTCTTCAAATGAGGATCTGAGATTATGGCAACTTTGGAAGGCAAATGTTTGGCCGAATGTACCTCTATTCATACACTCCACATTGGGTGCCTCTTTCTCACTCACTCTCTCTCTCTCAATCAGGTATTTTTCCAATTTGTACGCTAAGAGAAATACTACTGACACACAATACCCACTTATGAAACCAGTTGTTAGAGTGCAAATAAGCCAATGAATCATTGCAAAGTACACGTTCAGATCAATGATCAACTGCCAAGACCTTAAAACAAAATTCTTCATGAATCTCCCTTATAGAGCCACAAGAAAGTGCTTGGGTGTAATTTGAATTTCAAATCAAACCAAACATGTCCTTTTCTCAGGCTCCTTCTATGCGAGTCAATATTTAAATCACTTCCTCGGCAAATACAGAATTGGTTCTTTGAAATACACTCAATAACCAATTAATATAACACTAGACTCGATGAAAAAGAAGAAGCAAAAAGAAACAGAACCAAACAGGAGCTAATGTTTTATACAGATTGGGTACGCGGTACGTGATTGGTTGCCTGGTTAGCCAATAAATGCCTCAAGGGAGGGTTCACACAACAAGGGTAAATGCAGCTTATGAGTTTCTATCGAGTTTAGCGCCAAAAATAATCGATTCTGATCCACATAATGATTTTAATACGTTATGCATTGAATACAATAGGATAATCAGGGTCACTTATGCCCAAACATTTAAGCCATTCCCTTACCATGCCATCAGGAAATAGTTCGACGCCTTTGAAAGTGGATCGATTGACAGGAAAGGCCCATATGCGGACTGTATCATCATCTGAACACGTGGCGAAGTGTTCCACGTGAGGGGGAGACACGGCAGGGTCTGCAGCAGGAGCCCATCGACCCAGATCCGTCTCGTCAGGAGTGGAAGGTAATGTTGATGTGACGGAGGAAGTGGAGGTTATCGAACCACCGCACACAGCTCGACTGTGATAAAAATGCGCGAAGCGTCGAGTGATGGATTTCAGATTCGACACGTCCCAGCAGTAGAGACTAGAAAATAAAAAAATACTCAATGTGTTAAATCCGCCTCTAGTTTATGTTAGTCTCATCTTCATGACTTAAACTGCAAGGAAATGCCATTAAATGGAAGCACCATGGCTAAACAGTCTCTAGTTCCCCCAAACGAGAATCCATTCAAAAAACCAGATGTTAAAACATGAAAAGTAAACAATGAAAGAAAATAGAATAGTAAATACACACATACACACACACGTGTTTAGATTCTTTAAACTTTGAGCTAGGAAATTTGAACGGCGTCAAGATCATTTTTTGGGGAAGATAAATCCAATGCCTTGCTGTGCACGGAAAAGTGCTTCATCAATTTCCAGTCATCAACATGTCACTTCCGTGTTATAACCATGGCAGCTTATGATAAGGTGAGGTCATCCATCATTCTTCGACTGGTTCGTTATCTGATCACATATCACAGTGATTGGTTAAAACTTCTTCAATAAATCATAATATTACAGTATTTCCATTCCATCTATGAAAGTATTCCAATAAAACTACACGTATTCAAGAAGGCAGTTTGAAATGAAATCTCCGAAAATGTCGAAAACACCTCAAATACGAGTTAGATCCTAGACCCCGTTCAAGTTCTAATTGAATATTTTAATAGAATGACATTTAATGTTCATATAAATAGTAAGAATGCTTGACACACCTATGATCAGCATACATACAGATGAGAAGACCATTAGTAAGGTCGAATTTTATAGCCGCCACCTCAGCAAAAGACACTTCATCTCCTGAACCGGCGGCTAAAAAGGGTGTCCCAATTTTCGAACTCTGGAAAGGGAAAAAATGGATTATCCTTAATAGTCTTAAAGCAAGATAACAGCTAACCATGACTAAGTAGATAGATCTGTCTTCTCAGCTCCCCCGCCCCCACTTTATTCCACCAATTTAAGCCAATGTTACTTCTAACTGAAATATCCTCTTCATAGATGCTCGATATTTCTCCCAAACCTGATTTGAATTGCAACCACAGGGCGCACATCTAGTGATATGGACGACTAACTGCACTGGTTATTCATGGCAAGAAAGAGAGGCGATTAAATGCGATTACAGGATATCTTCCCATTTAGGACTACAACATGAAAGGAAGCTTTGTTAAAACTAATTACTAAATCAGGGGTGCGCAATAGACATACCTCCACGTGGTGCACCCTGGGCAAAGTATACTCATACGACAAAAAAGTCTATTGATCGGCAGTTGACTTCTGACTTCAAATTTCTATGACCCGACTATTTGTCATACTCAACCCCTTCCACAGTACTCATCTTACCTTTTTTATGCCTTTGTGTCTGTCTGCCTCTTTTACCTCTGAGAATCATTATTTTGCCTCCCATCTCGACTTTTTGTCACTTTGATGTCCCTTCTCCTCTCTGTGAAGACCCGAAGTCAGCTGCAGGGCTAATGATAACTATCAAAAAGCTTGCCAGTTGATATAAATAAATAAATACTTACTAAATCAAGGCCATTCATGCGATAATGAAAAGGGGAAGCAAAGAAGTGTAAAGTAGTTAAATTAATCAACTCCTGACAGGTGGAATGTATGCTTCATGAAAATACTAAACAAGGTAAGCATTCTATATATCATAATAGGCGTGTAACGCTAGAAAGCCAACTGGAAGACTTTCGGTATTCCTGGCTGAAGCTAAGGGACTATCCACTGCGCACAATACACAAGCTAGTAAGAATGCGATCACAACATCACTAAAGTTATTTCTTATTGATCCAAACCTATGCAGGCCTATTTATTACCTAGGTAAATATTTCGAAGTCCACGGGACTATATTGTTAGCCAAACCTCAGTGACAGAAACAGCGCAGATTATACCAACTTGGTAGAAATAACACTAGAACTAAACAAGACGTCAAGGTAGTCAATTTAACAGAGCCGCCGTTTCTAAAAGGTCAACCATGTCAATTCCCAACTCTAAAATAGAATTCATGCAAAGAAAATGAGGTATGGGACACACATACACACACACACACACACACACAAAGCGCCTCTTCAAAGTCACTCTATCTACTCGTAACCCTAGCTACAACCTCACTCGCCTGATTGACAAATTAAGCCCATCTTCATAAGTAAGTGCATATAATATTATTATGAAAAAAAAAGAAAAAAAGGAAAGACACTTACGGCTATAGAAGTGCCGAGGGGATGGGGTAGGGGGACTCGGGTGATGAATCGCAAGGTGACAGCCGAAAAGAGGAGGCACACACCGGAAGCACAGCCGACAGCCACCACCTGCCTACTTAAAGCCAAACATGCTGCGCTTGTTACCTGGGCGAAATAACAGCAGACAATGGAGTTACGCTTCTAATTCTGATGACTGTCACTTAATGCTGCTCGAAATGCTAGCCCCAAAAAAACACGGTACCCACTAAATAGATGTTTGAAGCACTTTGTTCCCCTAGTAATTGCATATCTCTGGGGTATTAGCCCCTCTGGGCTATTGAATGGCAGCTAACTGATAATAAGATATGTCACATGCCTTAATTGTTTTATTTCAATGTCGTAGGAACAATCACACAAAGAATAAGGGGTCTGGCAACTTGTTTATAGAGCTAGGACATTACTATGTTCGCATGCGTACATCCACTTCAGTAATTAAGTCAACTATGATTGTTATGGGTTAGGTCATAATGGTTGCCAGTCCTCAAAAGTGAGACGAAGCAAGGGAGCTTGCAAACGGAAAGGAGGTGCAATATCGGTTGCATACCGTTTGTCCGCCACTTCCTCGTCGCAACCGTGATAGGTAACGGCATAATTAATTCAACTGAAATTTACTAATTGGTCATTTGTTCAATCAGTCGTATTCCGCCACATTCTGACAATGAAGTCTATGTGTGTGTGCATGGTATCTTAATAACAATGAAGACGGTACAGTCTAGTCCGGTTACTAGGTCAGTATTGTCGCACTAAATCTGCCTATTTTCTCTCCCCCCCCCCCTCTCTCTGAATTCTGAGTAAAAGAGAAGGATACTTATAACAAGTTAATCCATAACGCAAACATAAGAAAAAAAAACTTTTAAAGTACATACATTGAAACTTGAGTTGGTGTTCGATTAGGGAGCGGAATGGCTAAATTCGCTAATGATGTTGCCTCTCTCCAAAAGAGATAAGCGTTGAAAAATGCTCGAGTGTGGCACTTAATTCAGTGCAATGAATTCTGAGGAAGTTCAGCCAAAAGTCACTGTTCAATGAGTTCGATGCCTACACAGTGCGTATGGAGTGAGCGGATCGACCTCAACCGTTGCACCGATTAAAATTGGTTAATGCCAACCCTCTGCTCAAGGCGAGAGCAGAACGGTATTTTGCTAGATTTTCTCTGGAGAAGTATTGTCCCCGACAAATTTTTGAGTGATATCAGAAATGAAAGGTAATTAAATAATGACAAAAAGAACAACTGACCTTGAGATCAACCCATTTGGTGACGCAACGAGAGGAGTTGATTTGGAGTAGTTGGCCAGCCTGCGAGAGAACCAAAGTGAGAATTTGCGGCACACCCCCAGACTCGCCTGGATCCAGGCAACAGCAGACATCTGTGAAGGTGTTGTGGAGTATATCTCCGAGTACTGCATTCCTCCCCTTCAGTGGTTGGGTTTCTTTTACCTTGCAGGGAGACAAAAATAGGTATGAAATCGAAGCAGGTGCTGAAAGTAAGCACTTAAGAAGCTAGCCACTCATTAGCCATTTAGCGATATCAAAGGGTATGGCAAAAACAGCATTAATTTTGTGGGGAGAAATTTCTAATTTGACTAACGAATAGATCAGTCTATCGCGTGGCAGAAGAAAGGAAAAGGGAGAGAATTTGGAAACTGCTTCTGTTAGCTGCTGGCTTTAGTTGAAGATTTTACATTCGGTTTAGGCTTCACTAGTTTCCATAATTTACCTACTCAACAAACTAGTAGCCTATACTTCGGTAGCTTCAACACAATGGCCCTAGAATTGAACGAAAATTAGCTTGGTTGACCCAAAAATGTCCAGATAACGAAGTGAAAATTGAACAAAAAGGAAGAACGAGTAATTAATACTAAATGACTGAAGCAATAGCAGTCACCTCACAGTACATCCCTTATTGAAATGGTGCAACACGACCAATACCCCGCAAAAATAACAAAATTTTTATTTTCGCCTTAACAAGTGGCAAAGGAGTGAGTGCGACTCCTTTCAACTAATAAAATCGAACTATTGGAAGTGGGATGATAAATAACACCCCCTCTCCCCCACCCCCCCTCTATACTTATCCTGCTTTCACTTAAAGTAATTTCTTACTCCTCATCTAAAAGCAAAGTCCAGGAATGCTGAATTTGTAAGCGAATTCATATTTTCACAACAATGTGTGAACACAAGTATTATTTCACTTAACATCAATTATTAGGAGGATCTCCATCTGGAACACACCAAAGATCACTTTTACGAATAAAGATCGTGCAAATTCACATGTGCACTACACTAAGATGATTTCATTCTTGATGGTAACAAAGTTAAGATACTTAAGAACCCCAAAGGAGAGGCAATAGTCAACAGCAATTTACTGTAAATTAGTGATTGGGCAATCATGTCCAATCGAATAACCGACTTATTCAAATAATAGGAGACAGAAAACAACAAGTTTTACAGAGTAGACAGGGCAACTCTGCAGAAAACTCGAATAAATGGAGAAACGGTCTCTGTGACATCTTTCCGAAAAACTGCAAAAAAGTGAAAATAAGTCCTCATGGAGAAGTTAAAATGATCAACGCGCGACTGAGTAATAAAAAGGAAAAAATTTAAACTTTCGCATATATAGAGCTGACAGGCGGTTGGAGTCAGGTGTTGGGCAGACTGTTGGTGATAGAAAACGCTAATCAAAAAAGAATAATTTCTCTCCTCTCTATTCCGATGCTCAACGGGGGGAGGGAGGGGAGTTGGGAAGGTTGAGTGATTTTACCCTACTCCTCCTTTCTGAATGTCTAAAAAGATCATCGCACGAATTGATGTTGCTAGCCTTCTCTCGTTTATGTACAATTCATTTATTAAAATCCATTAACTTTCCAATAACGCTAATAAATTATTTGATTGCCACCCCCACTCCACCCCCCCCCCCTATGACCAATATTTATTGAAAAAGGTTAGTGCGTTCCAACACACAAGTCGCTCTTTTAATGACTGAGTATGAATCACTCTCAATCGAATGTTGTAAATCTGCAGCGAAGTTAATGGTGATATATTTTGGCCAAGGACAAGACACTTAAAAGAGAGATGAAACGCCAAATTTGCAAGCCTGTTGGTGAGACAATTTCGGGGAGAAAAAAAAATGATTGTAAAATACTGCGCATAGGAAGTGCACGTACGCACACGTAGTGAAAGATACGGCCGCTGGTAGCTAACAGCAGCTGTGACTTGATTGACCAAAATCCGCACTTAATTTTTGTTCGATTTTTTTCCATGAATTTTGAATTTATGAAAATATTGCGCAGTAAAAATCGTATTAGGCATCAGTAAGATGACGCATTCTTAAAAAAATATTTATACGACAAAAATGCATCTAATTTGTAAGTGAAATTTTTGAAAGCCTAAAAGAGGACATTTTATGCGTTAGATTTGAACCAAGATAATGTCCTTTTCCTAAAACTAGGAGCATATTTAATTGTCAGAGCAGAAAAACCGGTCAAGTGCAGTTTTTAGAACTTCATTTTTTTGTAAGTAAAGGAAAGTGACATATGTGTCGCATTATTTTTGTTCTAGAAAAAAAGTAAACTATCACGGGATTTAAGATGTATTTGAATAAGTATGATATACAAATAAGTAGTGGCACCTTGGATCGCTTCTTCTCCTCCAGATACCAGAATCGAACATGTCGAATTCCAACGGTGACAAAGTACTCTCCATCATTGGCAAATGCCACGGCGTTGACCTAAAGAAGGGGGAAAGGGATGTACCAATTAATAGCGCCCCCAATTTTAGGACACTTTAATCAATAATATACAGCCAATTGGTAAATTAGGTGTCATGACATCTACAATGACTGAAAAAATCAAGTATTTAAGGTTTATGTATCAATTACCAATGATTAACGCTCCTAATTAATTTAACTGTGGTGGTTTTTAATTGCTTAATAAGCAATACAAGTGAGTAGGGAGTGAAAAGGGTTACGAAGAACCAAGAAAATGTACAAATGGGAGAGAAAAACTCAACACTCTTAAATGTTGAAGAACGAAGTTAGATTTACATATGTTTGTTCTGTTTTTACATGGATGTTTATAAACCAATCGTTCGAATAAAACGGTTATAAAAGATAAAGAGGAAAGCACTAACTCAGATCAATGCACTATTTGGACTATGGAGAACTGTCCTACGAAAGTCAAGGCTACAGGTTCTGCGATAGTTTTACTAAATTTGAATTTAACTCCTATTTCAATTAACAGCTATATATATACCAGAGAGAACCAAATAAATTGATGCAATTCTGTTAGCAAAAGTAAGTATAATAAGTAGGTATGAAGTTGCCTACAGAGCAATGCTATACCCAGAATTGGGCTTTAACCGCATGAGATGACTTCATATTAGCTCCAAAACAGATCTTAAGGGAAAAGGTGTAAATTTCTGCTCAAGAGAGGAATCATCGGATTTCACTCTCTCCACTCTCAGTAGCAAACGGCAGTATATATGAATATTGAAATCTCATTATTTCTAAGAGATTTTTAAACAAGTAGCACTTTCAAGGTGAGAAAACATTCCGAGGCAAGGAAAGAAATTCAAGTTTTGAACTTGCCTTGGCCGAGACCTTGGCGCAGGCGACTTTTTGAAATTGAGTTCGATCCCAGACACAGATGGTTTGATCCTCCTGACATCCAACTGATACGATGTAAGTGGCGGGACCTGGGCTGAAGCGAACAGAGCTAATGCGAAAATGATGACTGGCCAAAGCACCCAACTGATGTCCATCTGTGCGACTCCAAACACGCACCATTGGTTGATGTCCGGACTAAAAACAAAGCAATCGTATGAGGAAATAGTTATTATGAAGGTAATAAACGATTAACCAATAAAAAACACTATAAGGGAGTGCCCAGTTTCAAATTGACAAATTGAGTTACTTATGTATATCTTAGGCATTTCGTCGACATATTATCCAGAAACAGATGAATTTTTACACATTGCCAGAGTGGCGTAATCTTAATACTTATATAAGAGGACTAAAAGAGAGAAATAAATCCCCTAATGAATTGATTCGATGTCAGTTACTAATGTAATGTGACATTGATTTGCAAGCAATTGGTTAAAATAAAGACATGATACTGGTCGGAAAGGAATGACAATGTTTGTGAAGAAAATTGCATAAATATTTTGTAGAAAATATAAGAATAAATTCTGAGAGAGGGTATTTCAAAACTATAAGTCGCTTTAATAAGACAGAATATAATTAGTCAAACCTTGTCTTGGGCGGAGAAAACTCATTTAACCATCATGACAGCTAATAAATTAAATTACTGTATTTCCCTGATGAGCTTTTTTAAGAGAAATATTATAATTATTTCAAAACACGTAAATTAAAGGAATTGACAGAAAGCACGGTCAGCTCTTTCATAAGAGCACAAGATACATTCAAATGTTTAATATGAAATATTGGGTAAACAAAGACATATCTTAAACTAAGCGCATAAGAAGTACTCAGGTTTAATAAATCAATGGTTCAAAACTTTTCAACTCTGAGTAGACATTCGGAACGTTGTTAAAAAATATGCTCTGAACCTAATTATAAACGATACTGAAATCAATAGTTTAACTAATACATCGGATAAGAGAGCTAACGTGAATAAGTAAAACACACTTACCTCGCCAGTGATTATATATTTACCATCCGAGCTAACATCCAAACAGGTCAGGGATTTTCTTGATGGACTCTGAACGATGAATTGAAAATTAGATATGCAGGATTCGCCAACAACTACACAGCTATAGCAAGACAAGGACACTAATAATCGATGTTGCTCAAAAAGAGTAAAAATATTCAAAATGGCTTACCCCGCGGTGTAGAATACAGTGGAATTCTTTGTATCTAGTGCGATGGAGCAATTATTTATCGCGGTAAACCCAAGAACACGCTCAAGGACGACATTGTAGGCATTCTAGATAGACATAACAAGTAATAAATATAACAGACACGTATACCCTCGGTTTTGCTGATCGGACGGATCTAATAGTTTTTGACATTTCTTCGCTTCTGAAAAATATGTGGAGGTTTAAGTTAGATTGTGTGGTAATGCAATATTAGATAGCTTAAAACAAAATGCATGGGTATATAACGACTAATAACAAAGGGTTTAAGTTTAACTCATTTATAGTGATACAAGAGTTTCTTTAAAAATGAATATTCCCCATATACATGAAAAAACGTCAAAGATAAGAAAGGTCACACTATTCGAAGAAGCCGCTATCTGGCGCAATTCGTCCTTGAAGGACAAGCCAAGGGTATCAAAGATTATATAATTTTAATTTTGATTAATTGCGTAAAGATATTTAAGTGATATTAATTTTTAATGCAATTTTTTAATTATATTGCATTTTATTGGCACGGGTATACACTAAAACAAAATATTATCAGTATTTGTTTTGGCATGAATTGAAAATCTATCATGGAATTTAATCCAGTCAAAGCATTAAAAAACTTTTTAACGACTTTTAGGTAGTGGAACAAATGAACTTGCTGTTGTTTGTGCGTAGGAGATTGTGTATATGCGGGCCGATATTAAATTTACACCTGTAAATTTTTGCGAGCAACAAAGTTGACAAACTTAAAACTGACGAGTTAGAAAGTTGTCTCAAAAGTTTAGGATCGGCAAAAATACCCCTTTGTGTTTTCCCTTGGTTAATAGTGGATGCCTTGAAGTGCTCTTGAAGATGATACGAATAAAAATTTGAAAGTTTTGCGCTTTTACGACGTAATAGTGCTTCTTAAATTTAACTAGGAGAAACAGACCTTACGAAAAGTTTAATTCAAAACAAAGATGCGTCTACAATAGCTGAATAAGATTGGGAGGTTCGAAGTGTTAGATCACATTAAACAATTCCAAGATACTTGAATAATGAAGTGATAGATGGGCATAATTACGAGAGAATGATTTAATATTCGTGGTATTTAGATTATAAGATATTTTAAAAGTACAATTTTTCTATTTTCTCTACACGATTGTAGATTTTCATTCGCAAAAATTTAACATGCTTATTCTAATTGTAAATATTCTATAAGAATTTGCAGAGCAAGTCATTGAGATTTTGGTAAGGTTGATTTTTATGTCAAATTTTAATGATGCTCCCATAAATTTATTAACACTTGATTTCAGTTCAACCTAAAATATTCCTAAGTTATTCTTACATTTATATCATGGTTTGTTAAAAAATGTAGACAAAAAGATATATGGTACAATTTGTTTTATTCCCTTCCAGCAGGTTGATATGAGGAGGCCAAGACAAAAAACATCCAGAGAGCTATGTAAGTAGATCTTTGTAATTTTCTAGTTTCCTTTAGCTGCTTTCTATAAAATGGAGAATAAAACAGAAATTACTGAACCTCTAAATCGAAATAAAATGGGTTCAAATGTCATGAAGTCAGTGGAGGATGTTGGTGCATCTAAAATTGGTTGTACGGAATCCATTTTCACCTACGATTTCGCTAGTGTAAGTATTTATATAGATAGTTTTATTTATTCTTTAATTAATGGTTTTGTATTACTTTTTTATGAATTCTCATCCTTTGTTTAGCTTGCTCAGACAATGGCCCATAGTGCCGAGGAATTCGTACGACAGGTTTGGCTTCGTGGATGGGGCCTAGTTCAGTTTACTCAGTTACCTCAGTGGATGAAGGATAATGATTTCATTAGGGGTGGCCATAGACCAGCTCTTAACTCTTACTGGGGCTGTGCTAAATCTATTTTTCGAATTCACACAGAAACTGGAAATATATGGACTCATTTACTTGGTAATATCAACATACTTTTTTAAATTCCTGCTCTTTAGGCTGTGTTTTATTTATTGCTATTTGGATATTTTTTCTTTCCTTCGCACCAGAGAGCATTCAGTGGCAGGATAAATTGGTATTCTCTGCTTTCTTTATTGGTGCTGTTGTTTGCCTGGGATTTTCTTGCATTTTTCACACTTTAAGCTGTCACTCTCCCAAAGTGTCTCGTTTTGCAAACAAGTACGCTACTGTTTCCAGTATTACTTTTTTGTTTCGTCCTTTTATATTCACTTTTTTGTAGATTGGATTACGCAGGAATAGCAGTTCTGACAATCGGTTCTTTTGTGCCTTACCTCTACTACACTTTTTACTGTGATGTTGCGGCCATGGTAAGCTACCTCTCCCTGATATGCGTTCTTGGAGTTGTAACGATTTGTGTATCGATGTTGGATGCCTTCTCTACACCGAGATTTCGACCAATTCGAGCTGGATCCTTTATTGGTCTGGGGTTGTCCGGAGTTATTCCTGCTACACATTATGCTGTTGTTGTTGGCTGGAAATCAGCCGTAGATGACGGTTCTCTAGGATGGCTTATTATTATGGCCTTTCTCTACATCTCTGGTGCTCTGCTCTATGCCCTACGCGTTCCTGAGCGATGTTTTAGTGGCTATTGTGATATTTGGGTATGTTTTCGACGTTCTCTGTAATTTTTTGGCTTTCGTTTTTATTCAAGTCCATCTTTATCTTTTGGCATATAGAATAGACACATCTCATCTCAACTCATAAATATGGTTATTTTTAAGCTTTAGCTCAACGTGACCTAAACTACCGATAGTATGGCTTCTTCTGCCTTCGTCATAAGGGAAGATAACACGTTGCCATAAAAGGAAACAGACAAGATCTGTAGTGGTAATAGATGATTTCAGAAATAGATGCTTTGTGAATCGTAATCCATTTTTATGGGTTAATGGCGTAGTGACAGCTTTCAATGTGTAAATGAATGCTTGTGTATCATAACGGGCGATGTCTTTAATGAACTCGGTCATGCTAAGCTTCTGCTATTTCTCATCATCTTGTTATCTATTTTGAAATGGCAATGGTATTCTTTTATTTCTATTACTAATTGTATATTTCAACCTTGTTATTAACTTGTCTGTTTTCGAATATTTGAAATTTGGAAGTAATTTCTGCCAAATGGATTTTTAATGCTCGTGTCAATAAAACAGGAAAATTTCGAACTCCCTCATGAGCACCGCAGCAGTTTAACCTAACTTCCCAATTATTTAGAAGTGTGAAATTACATTAGAGAGGTTGCTTAATAATCAAAACTACAAAATATTGAACCATATTAGTTTACTTTCCCAACCACTTGTAAAGTGTAACACTGATACTCCTACATTTCTCCAACTACAACTTATCGTTTTTTAATTGGTCTGGTGATACAGCAAAATGAGTGTTTCTCAACACGGGCTTGCAGTTTATACTAATCCTCCGCCAAAACAATATTTTTTCTCTTTTAGTTTCAAAGTCACCAGATCTTCCACGTGTTTGTTGTGGCAGCTGCATTCGTGCATTACTACGGCGTTTCAATGATTTCCGATTTTCGATTAAGCAGAGGTGACTGTAGACCCGCCCAGCCACTTAATTTTACCAACACTGCTTTCGACGCATGATGTGTTCTAATCAACTTCTTATTTTTGACTTCTGCTTTTTCAGAATATTAAAAACAACACACGCACACACATTGGCTTTAAATCTGACTTTGTAAAAGAAATAGATTACATACAATAATACATGTGTACATAGATATGCATATACGCTCATGAATTTTTTGGTTTACACTTTTTTCCCATTGACTAGGCTTCCGGGTCTGTTCAGGCGACTGAATATACTGGTTGGGCCTGCATTTGCCTCCTGTCCACCGAAACCATTATAACGGGTGCTTTTGCCAGCCGAAGAAGTGGTTATTCCATCGGAGGATTTCCCATAATCTCTCATTATCGCAAGTTTGAAAAGACTGGAGTGTTTCTGGCGTGGTTTAGGCTTTTCAATTGGTCGTAGAGTCCTCTTGAATGGATTGGAAAGTGGTGTATCGGTTGTCTAAATCATTTAGAAAAGAAAATACAATGGATACGGCACCCAATTGCAGAATGATCTAAAAATGTGAAATTAGACAGACCAGGATGCTCTAAAAGCTGTAACTAAGCGGTGGGGGGTTAATTTTGTACGGTCCCATTGATGTTCTACGTGTTGGCAATTGCTTTAACAAACTCTACTTCCAATTCTTCAGTAGCAAGGTGTTGCTGTTCTAACCTAAGATCATTTAGTTTCCCATAATACATTCCGATTGACTTCTGTTTACACGTGATTTACTCAGACACCATTAATCTGTAGTATCTTCATATATGAAGAGATTTGAAAATTTGTCAACTTTAAATAATTCCAACACATCGTCTATGATGACAAATATGTACTAGAAATGATAGAGTACAGAGTGGTAACCAGTGGCCTGCCTACAAACCAGAACAAGCTAAACACATTTCTACGTCATTCACCCACCAACATGTATGAGAGAGAAGAAACAGGAGAGCTGTTAAGAATTATTAAAAGTCTCGTTTATTTGGCCCTGTTGATTTGACTTGTGCAAACTGAATAAAAGCACCCTTTGTTCTTATAAAGCTTTAAATGAAAAATTTTAAGCTGATTTATAAAATATGCGTCATATATTTAGCTTAATACCAATCCACGTGGGGTGTGATTTTCACTTAGAAAACCGTTTTAAGCGAACTTAATATTAACAAAATAAGAAGTATCTGGGACAACGTGTGGCAAATATTTTCAGCATCAAAACCACCCAATGAACTCGAATTACAACAATAAAGCGTCACTTACATTGACGGTAGGTGACTGGAAGACTCCCTGGCCTTTGGAATTGATTTCAGGTGACATAAGATCGATAAAACTGAGGCACCGATCCAAATCAAGTGTAGTTTCATTGGCAGAACTGATTGACAAAGGAGTAACAGGAGTGGGGTTACATGAAGAATCGCTAACACTAGTAGCGTTAGGAGCATCATTTGCTTGTTGCTCGCACATCTGCGCCATATCAGCCTCTAATTGGGATATTCGATTCGTATAATTCTCCAATTTTCTCTCTAAACCGGAGACCCGATTGTTGGCTGACGCATGAGCGCGACGCAATCGATAGGCATCTTTGCGATACTTGGAGATACGCAGTTTACTATCGGCGAGTTCGCTACGCAGTACTGCCAACCACTTGAACAATTCAGTAATCACCTCCGGGGTGTAATGTCCTTGTTGATCCAGGTACTTACCCATCAATTCATTAGCATTTGTTTCATTTCCCCTAATGAGTACTTCTATATCCTTAAGCTGTTCAACTTGTTGACGCAATTGAATACATTCTTCCTTCATCCTTTCTGCTTCGGCCAAAACCTCGTGATAACTGGCCAATTGAGCTCTAGGGAAAGAAGCAAAATCAGAACATCAATATGCTTTTCAAGAAAATAACATAATTCGTTAGTATTTAATAAATCAACTTTGCGCGGTTGTATTTCTGATTAGTCTCACTAAGAAGTTCGAATGTTTGATTGTAGAGATTAAGGATTTCATCCCTGGATTTTGTTTGTTCCTTACTATTTTCTTCTAGATTATGTATTCTGTCTTTGCACGAAAGAATTTCCTTGCGAAGAGCTTGATTCTGTTCAAGTAAATCAGTAGGATTACTTGAAACCTGAGAACGAGACAAGAACGTAGTTATTATTAATCCAAATATAATAAATTGTTATTCACAAGCTATCAGCTTACATCTTCGCTAAACGACACATCTGTGGACGCATAATTGAAAAACAACTTCAGCAGTTCCACCGTGTTTGTTTGACAACGACAGTGAGGACAGGACGGTCGATATTTTAGCCATCGTATAATACAATCCTCATGGAAGACATGTCCACAAGGTAAAGCGGATATATTAGCTCCGTAGTTCGAATTTAACTTTTCTTGACAAATTGGGCAACCGAATTGAGACATAATATTGATACTAAGTTAGACAACACATGAATAAAGCGATTTTAATTTTCAACTGAAAGCACATGTGAAACATTTAAGTTCATTTTAGATATCACATCTATTCATTGTGTTAAGTAATGCATAATTACATACATAGGCAATAAGTTACAAAATATTTGAAGCAAAGATAAGTATGAAGGGAAAGTAATTGAAGTGTAGCAAGATTTACTAAATATCCAATACGGTAGCTGACCATGAAATATAGATTAGACGCCAATTCAAAAAGCTTTGGGTTGTGAAAATGATAAACAAGTGATTTTAAATTTCTTAAAATAAAAATTTAATTATCTAACTTATTAGACTCTAAAATAAACTTTCTTAAAATATAATAGAAAATTGAATTAAGAGCTGAATGCTATGATTTATTTTATCGTGAATAAATTCCCTGCACAATGAATGTTTTTATTAAAATGTCAAATAAATTGATAATTTTATACTTAAAAACTACCAAAACATCATTTGAGAAGATACTAAAGGTTTTCTGTACCATGTAGCGGATTGCTACACCAATAAAGCCTGACTGACTCAGAATCTCTGTGGCAGATTCTCCAACGTCAAGCTAAACTCCCAGAACTAGCTAAGCTAAAGTACAGCTATAGAGAAAACAGACATATAGCACAAAACACGTTTATTTAGTTAGTTTATTGTGGGTAAAAGTATTCACACAAGCAGCTTAGTCATATCCAGCTTGGCTGCTTAGTATTAAACACATGGCGGCTTCTGAATTGTCACTCGCAGTACTGTTGTCTGCGCGGTAAGTTATACGCCACACGTCCTAGTAACGGTGCGCGTAAATGCGGTAACATGTCCTGCAATACTCCCCCCCCCCTCCCCCAAGAGGGTTTGTGGGGAGCTACAAGGTAAAGAAAACGCTGGTTAATTAGTTAATGTATAAAATCCACCAGTTGAGAGGGCAAGGAAGATCTCTGGCCTTAGTGTAACAGGTTTTTGAGTAAGATGGGACAGGTGTTGGAACTGCTGAGACGGGATTTTCGGAGTTGGAGGAAGCATGATTGTGGACTTCGTGCATGCTTGTGGACCTTGCCGGCTGAATGAGTGAGGCAGTATTTGGTCCACTGACGAGCATCCTGTTGGATGTTTCTCCAGAGGCAACGATCTATGATCAGCGTTCTTGTTGATCGGATATTTGGTTGCGACAATCCATTGTGCGAAATCTCTCGGCGTGTGCATGCCTGACGATTGGTCTCGGCTTGACGGTTGAAACGAAGCAGTGCGTTAGAGTGATGGGGACCTGTATGAGTAGGCTTTCGAAGAATAATGTGCTTTGGCAGTCATTTTTCATTGTGTACAAGGACGAGGTCCTTGAGTCTCGCAGAGATGAACCTTCGAAACGCGACGTGCTCCGGCTGTTACCTGCTTCCATGAGAGTTTTGAGGGAGTCATAACAAGTGAAAGGAGAGCGTTGGAGTGCCTTTGAGGTGTTGATCGTTCGTGCGGAAAGGAACAATCAGGTGAGTAGAGCGATGTGAGGAAAAATCGCGTCGCCAAAGAGAGATAGTGTCTCTGTTGAGCGGAAGAAGTCAGCATTTGACAGGTTGTGGGTAACGACAGCGGACGGAAGGTGATCATTTGAGCAAAAAGAGATCACCGAGTGCATTGAGGGATGCGAAGAGGAAATCGCGATGCCAGTGTGAGATTGTTTCTCTGCTGAGTGTTTGAAGTCAGTCTTTGGCAGTCACGGCAGGGTCACCAATTTGTAGCGGATTGCTACGGTAGTAAAGCCCGACTGACTCAGAAATCCCTATGGCAGTTTCTCCAACATCTAGCCAGACTCCCAGAACCAGCTAAACTATAGCCCAGCAATCTGCACACATTTTAAAGGTCCAAATATGGAACCTTTTAATGGTGACCTGTTTGATGTAGCAATACTTTTAAATTAAAATAAAATTTGTACATTTTTTTATAAAATACGCAAGAAAAGAACGTACCTTAAGGCATATTTTTAACTTTAAAATTTACCATATTTCTAAGCTTTATGCATAGGTACAGATTAATAAAATCGCCTTAGTTGGTAATAACAATGGGCCTCTACATTTACTATATGTTAATTGAAAATAGTTAATAGATGGCAATTACCAGTATTTAGAATCACGTTACTTGCGAACACACACACACAAATGAAATGCCATGTTAAAATAATTATTTATATCAAATGGTAGGTGTCTTGATGGTTATCATTAACCCTTTAGTTGACTTCAGGCTTCGCAGAGAGGAGGAGGAACATCAAAGTGACAAAAAGTCGAGACGGGGGGGGACAGAAGTGTTTCAAAGACAAAGGTAGAAAAGGTAGAAAAAATGCGAGGTAAGTACTGTGGAAGTAGTAAAACATGACATACAGTGGGGTGATGGCAGGTTGAAGTCAGAAGTCAACTGCCGGTTGATAGGCTTTTTGCAGTATGAGTATAAGTTGCCCAGGGTGCACCACGTGGGGGTAAGTTTATCGCACACCTCCATGTTAAAATATAAAAATAGGGAAACTCCAGACTTATCAGATATTACAATTACAGATCGATAAGGTTCTGAAGTGCCATTTGTTTATCAGAGTGGTCAAAGGTCATAATGAAATAAAAGTTGGCGTTACAATTCATACTTCGTTATTTTTACTTCTATGTAATTAACTTTATTCTAGCCTTGCTTCTAATCGATTAGGGTAGAATTTTCGATTTTGCGGTCTTCAGGATTTTAAATTAGATTCTAATTCGGAAGCGTAATGAAGATGATTATGCAAATTAATAAAATCAATTTATTAATATCCAAAATTTAAACGTAAAAAAAACGGAAATAAGCCGTGTATACTCTCTCTGAAGAAGATCTCCTAAGAATAAGTCTTAGCCGTTCGTCTTTCAAGGTAAAGTTAAGATAACTCCAGTTATAGCAAACCAGCGGAAATATGGCACTCATTTCAAAAGGGATGCTGACACCATAAAAGTGAGACTTTTTATATAATACATTATCTGGACCACTGGCATATTCATGGGTACTGAAATTCAAACTTTCTGAATAGATTTCTGTCCCAAGATTGAACATTGACTTCCCATACGAATCCCAGAATTTGTATCCCCAATGCATCCCTGATATTTTCAAAAAGCGAGCCCCTGGTCGCAATACGTTTCCTTCGTAGAAATGCTGGAATAAATACTCATTCATATGCCATAGCTTTTGTAATTCTTCCGGATTCACTGAGAACCAGGTGTTGCATAATTGTTTCAGCATATCCTCATATGCAATATCTTTATAAGGTTTATATACTGAGCCAAGAAGACAACAGGCTTGTCTAAACGGCAAGGATTTTCGGCAAGTTTCGAGCACATGACAGGCCATTTTAACAGGATCATGTCGAAACTTATATAAGACGTCAAATTCAACTTCACTCATTACTCGACTTGCGTCACGGGGATCACAAGAAAGTCGTCCTTTAAATACTTGGTAAAGTGGTGTCGAAATTTCATCCGCAAAACAAATTGTCATGAATTCCCTTAATTTATCAACTAAACCCGTTTTGTAGTGGGATAAATATCTAATGCCATCCTAGTAAATAAATTACTATTAAATAATATAGTTTGAATCTCAAATTTTTGACAAAACAAATCTAACAAATTTGGATATAACAGATATTACGCATTAAATTTAACAACTTTCATAAGAAGTTACGTTTGCGTCACATGGGTATCCTTTGAGTTTAAATGGAACATTTCTGACTTGTGGGACCTGGTCTTGAGAGCTTATTCGAATAACATCGGGCTTGGGTTCGGTCTAAAGTTAATAGCGCTCCTTTATGGAAATAGTAAACTCAATTCTGGAATGATGCACGGAAGAATATAAATCAGTAGGAAAATGCAAGGTATCAATATAATTTTAAAAATACTTTTAAGACAAAAAACATGTATAATGGCACGTTTTTGTCAAACAGAGCTGTTGAAAGCCTATTACGTATATTTTCTTAATAAAGAGGGGCATTAAGCATCTTTTGGGCCTAATAATAACTATTATTTCACCAAAAAATGAACTTATATGTTGATTTCCATGAAACCCAATTTGTTAAGAAAATTGATGTCATACTTAAGTACGATCAGCTTGTGACCTACAGGGTGTAGTTCTGATGAAGCCTTCCGATACCCTCCATCATCCTATAAGATAAAAAGATATATAAATTCCCCTGAGGAATACTTAAATAGTCTGAATTTAATGTTCGCTTTAACCTGGATGTCTTGAATTTTCGCCTTTCTTCTACCCATTTCGCCTTAAAAGATTGTGGCTATATATGTCAGCTTTGGTAGGATTTCAATAAAGCATGCATCTTTTCACGTGATATGTTCCAAGTCAACCTAATCAAATGCCTTTCACACAATGAGCGTCATTTAGCACCAAGTTACAAAATCTAACTTTATAGAAGACGTCCTAAAAAATTCATTAAACCCTCCTCCTATTTATGACGAATCTATCACTCCATTTCTCTTAATTCCACTAAATAGATTACTTTAGTCTCCATTAGTATCATACTCACCTAAAACAATTCCTAATGCAAATCAGCGTGCGGCTAATAATGACCTAGAATGAAATAATATTCAAATTTCGAGTGCTCTCTGGTGCCCCCTAAGACTATAGTAGCTTCAGTGAGTTCAGTATTCCTGTTTACGATGCCCACAAAAGGGTTTTGAATTCAGCCTACTTGATAACCTGAAGTCAATGACGAGAAAGAAACTTGAGAAAACACTGAATATAAAATATGCCATAAAATTAACGGAACCAAGATTTTTTCTCACTTTACTATAATAATTTCATAAGTCGTCTACGAAGATTAAGTCTCTAAAATTTCTCTGTAAATTTAATCTCAGTTGAGCACAAGCAAAACTCGAACCAATGTAATGCACCAATGAATAATGCCTTCCGCTTTTTGTCAGATAAATAATATATGTAAAAGACTTGAGAAAATCGGACTTGTTATTCTGTTTTTCGATCAAATCATACTTTATTCAATCTAGGTGAATTAAATGGGAGTAAGAATAAAATGCAAGTATACACTCTAATCACCAGTTTACAATTCTGTTCAAACCAATTAAAGAATTTTAGTCTCAAATTAATCTTAATGGAACTTCTCAAGAAGTCTTAATCATGTTTACTGGAAGTTTTATTATTTAAGTCTGCAAAATCCGAGTTCAACATCGATTGGCAGCACACAGCATTCGGCATCGCGGCGTGCATAAAGTGTTTATGTTTCGAAATGCCATCGAGGTCTCCTGTACTCGACCAGACAAAATTTGTGATTTTACTATTAAATACCTATTGGCCCATATTCCAGACAGTTTTCATTTTCATAGTGGAAAAAGTGACAGAAATATTTTCAATAATAGGGAGAATGATCCTTGAATTATAATATCGTCAAGAGGTAATCATATTTATATGTGCCATAAATTTCATAGTTTTCCAAACAGATGATCTTGGAATCTGTATTTATGTTCACATACCTATAATTTTATTAATATTTCCATTTAGTATAAACCATTAAAATTTTTGAAATGATAAAAGGTACCTCTTTTATTAATCATCTTTATTATTTCAAATGATACTAGCACAAAATAGTTTAGAACATATGGTAATTAATTAAGTTCAATTACCTAGAGAAAACTTTTAACGAACTGACCTTGGCAACACCAAAATACCGCGAGAGCCAAATTAGCCAATCCTTATTTGGTTAGTTGATAGATCCTTTAAAATAACAGGTCAGTAGTTTTAGTTGCAGTTGTCTTAAATTTATTAGGAATCACATTGATTTAAAGTCCAGTAATGAATTTATTTTATTACATCCATCATCTGAATTCTCATTAACGAATTATTAAGTCCCTTTAATAATCCACTGGCTTACCTAATTTAATATATTTATTCAAATGACAAATATTCTTTCTTTTATTTGATTATAACTGTCAAAACACCCGCCATTTAAAATAAACATTTGTGTTTGGATTTTATTTCAGATTTAATTTTCGGAATGGCTTTTGCTCCAATTTTGAAAATGAAAATGGATGAACTTTTCATCCGATGGTTGACAGACGAGGTTACCCAGGCAGGTCTAAATCAGAGTCTTGCATTGCTTAAAGTTAGTGATCGGTTAGAGGCAAGACGCGCATTGCGCCTTATTATGGTACCGGGTCCACAGTCTTCACACACTCCGGAAGCCCTACCAACTGTCCCTTCTTCTTTGAACTCTCCATGCTCCTCACCTCGTCCTCTCACTCCTCCGCATTTCCCAAATGCTCACCGTCAATCTCAGTCCCCTCGTACTTCTACCCTTCCCTCCTTCGTGAAATATATTGTAAGTTACTTTCATTCTTGTATCAGAATTTGATAGTTGAAAACCATCAGGTGGAATAAAGAGTAATAGCAAAACCAGAATTCTCCTACGGATTTCTAAACTTCAATGTAGCAAGGTGGGAAATAAAATTTGAATAGGGGAGGATTCCTGAATCGTGCATAAAACTTATTTGCAGATGGATGAAAATAAATGAAGACCTGTTTACTAAATAGGTTTTATTAGGATTTATTATGCAAATCAAGAAGAAATGAAATGATATGCAGCCTATAAATGTAAGAAAGCTGAAATATAGACAAATAGTTATAAGATTTTTGATATTTAAAAGCATTTCCACCTTGCTCAACCTCGAGCTAGTGGCTTGAAATTTGGTGGGTGCTTTCATCTGTCTAATAGCCACATTGATCTGCAATATTTGATTTCCCAGTTGGTTCATTTTGGGTGTTTATGTGTATCCTTTTATAAGAATTCTATGATTTCCTTAGAGAATGGGTTATGGAGTTTATCCTTTAGGGATCTTTAGAAGACCTTTCTAAAATCGTTTTTATGCTAAATAACAATTTAGGCACTTATTGGTTAATCTTTTCGCCCGATTTAAGAGGTATTTTATTGTTTTTCTTGGTTCTTAAGTCTATTGGCGTTGTTATTTGCTCGGAAAGTCAGCTATTCTTTCTTCTACCGTATTTAGTTTGATAACTCGGAGGAGTTTGTGCGTTGCAATTTATTGAACTTTTAGCAAAATATTGGTTCGAAAAGCATTTAGTTATGCCTTATAAAGCAGCATATTCGATAAATTTAGTTCCTTCTATTAAAATTATCATGTGTGTAAAGGCTTTATTCAGTGTTTTAGGCGAAAAACCATCATAGTTGATGTTGGTTTACATTTTTGTATCCTTCTAGGAATTGGTTGATTAAATTATTACCCATGTCCACTTTCAAGAGTATCGGATATTAGTAAATCCATTTAACCCGATGTTATCTGGATTTCATTTATGTTCGTGATAAGCCATTTTTCTTCAGACTATATTAGCTGTTACAGAATACGTATGATACGGAATGACCATTACTTATTTGGTCAAATATACGTGGCATGTATTTTATAATACATCATCGTTTCCATTCTTTTCAAATTCTCCCTGAAAATTGTATGTGAAAGAACTTTTGACTAAATGTTATTAGTTAAATGCTACTTTTATACAAAAGTTTCTGAATTTATTGACTAGAATCTCTAGTTATTACTAACAAATAGTCAGTAGGGGTTATCTACCAATTTTTTCTGTTTATTTACCTCGAGCACTTTCCTAAGTGCTTATTTTATTGCCTCTGCTTAAGTAGACATACATCAAGCGTTTGGCACTCAAAACTGGCTGTTGAAATTTGGGGATTTTCTTAAATCGCAAGCCCAATCGAATACTAATATTTAATCATTTCAGAATTTTTTCCTATTATTACTTTTATCTCAATTCATTATGAAATTGTAGTCTTTAAAAGTTCACTTTTTGGTAGAATTAAGATTTTCGTACCGTTAAATAGGTGTTTCCTCTGATCTTGTATAATAATACAGCGTTGTTCTGTTCGTAACTTGTTATAATTCAAGTCTTTACTTTTCCCGTTTCCATATTCAAGTCAGGCTACCTAATTTAGCAGAAGTGTCACAAGTTCAATGAGAGAAAATGGGGACTATTTGAGGGTGAAAGGGAATGGGTACTACAATTTACTCATAATAAGTGTTCTAAGGTAAATTGATCCAAATAGGCTAGCGTAGCGTAACAATAACAGAAAGTATTTTGTGACGAATTGGAACCTAAAAAATACCTATAGCCCACATAATCATTTGTCACTATTTTGAACCCCCCCCCCCCCCCCCCTCCACATAGACTTTGAAAACCTTTAACTTCTCATCTTAATCATCCTTGAATTGCCTATGCCTCATCTCTAAAATATATATATTCATCACTAAATTTTTATCGTTATTGCGATTATTGATTGGTTTAGTCGATTGTTAAATGGAGAAATAAATTTTTTGGGATTCTAAAATTTTACATCCTAAATCCATCTGGTTGGGTCCCTATAGTGTCTTAATTAAATAGTAACGAACTCTTAATTGTTCAAAATAAATTTTCAATGACTGCTCTTACTTTAAATTAGTTTCGGTGATCATTAAACATGTTACCTGTTATTTTCGATCCAGGAGCACGTGGACCAGAAGACAACTTGGTAAGGGTTTATTTTCGTTTGGATGCAGTAATTGTGAGGGTATTTAAATGAATTAGATGTTGTGTCTCCCCAATGAGCATGTTTGAATCATGATTATCCCACGTGCTTTATGATCGATTGGTCAATAGCAGAGTGGCTTGTTTAGGCATGTGTAATCCTATTGGTTTAATGTCCACGTACTATCCAATGAGCATTATAATTTAGGCTGGTACGTGCGCACTTGGTGGTCCACGTGAATGGCGCACTTGCCTCCTTTCTTGCTGCACGTGTGTGCGCGCGTGTATCTCCTTTTTCGCTCTCGCTCATTCTCTCTTGTAAGTTTTGGTGTCTGTGCGGCGCCGGTCTGGTTGACTACGTAACCATGGCAATAGTCTTTCATCTCCCTCCCAGGATCTACCAATTTTTGGCTCTCCAGATTGTTGTCTATTGGGCTATCGTTGTCGGACACATAGCCTCCGGGTTCTCTCCACTTATTGGAATACCTCTTTTACCCCTACTTGTTGTACAGATCATATTGCTCATTCATATCTGGACTAATCTCATAACAAAACATCAGTCGACCGATGATGCTTCATCAGGACTCTGATATCGGAGGCATGCCAAGATATTGACGGAGATATTACTGCATTCCTATCTCAAGAGGATATAAAGGAAACGGTCGATATTGTACCTACGTGCGATTTGTTTTCACATTTTACTTTATTTCCTATACTTGAAATTGACTTACTTTTTTTCCTTTTTGTTTCTCCTCAACCACCAACTCAGAGCAATTGAAAATACTATCAGCCAATTTTCTGAAAAATAACCCGCTTTCTTCTCTGCTTACAAAGGTTACTGGTAGTTGGTTTTATCGGCCTTGATTATATTTCTCTCATAGTTAAAAATTTGTCCAGGAGTATACGTGAATTTAAATTAATCACTTAATTATGATCCAACCAGACATCCTAATTCCTTAATTCATACACAGAAAAGCAGATTTCTTAATAATATTTTCCAAGTTTGTTAGTAGGAAGCTGCTTTTTTTGCATAGCTACTCTTCAACTTTCCTATATGCTATAGAACTTAATATCCTCCTTTTTATTACCCAATTTCTCATTCTCACTGCTCGTATGCAAAGCACTGAGGTTTCCCACCAAAGCATTCACATTAGTGGGATGTTTCTCACATTCATATGGCAGGTCTTTGAGCAAAAATTTATTTCCTTGCATAGGTTTGCTGAATCATTTCTGCCCCTAGGCAGATTATATGCGCCAAATTACTGGTGTTAGTTTCTAAAGATGATAAAATATTCCTACTTGGTCTATGGAACGTGGAGTTAGGAAGGAGCGTAAAGTCGGAACGCTTGGAGATCTTGAATTGCCTACTTTCTCGTAAGGGGCATTATTCACTTTGTGATGTCCATATATTTCGAATTCCCCTTCTCTTGGTTTGATTTTCGAGTTGCAGGGTGTGTCAATGCCCTTGATATATTTATAGCCTGGTGAACTGTTAATTTAAGTGAATTGTTGGTCATGCCACTTCATTTATATCCACCCAATACCGTGAAAATTTATTTGGATCATTAGTTAAATTTGTTGAAAGCTTCTATGATTTTTAATATAAAGGTCTCATTACCAAATAGGACCTATTTACTAACACCAAGCTATAATTAGAGTCAACTCTTACCCAACCGTTATTTAAAGAGTCAGTGCTTCATTTCAGTCGATTTTTTTATTTGATTATTACGAAATCAATCCCACTTATTTGGGCCTTAATTGCATTCGAGTAACTTAGTTAGCTCGTCTTGTTCCTTATTGTGATTCATGCGCGTTACTTCTTCGACTATTACGATAGCAATACATGCAATATTTGCTGTAAATTCACTGCAATTCCAGTGTTTATTGGCCATATATATAAATTGCCATTTCAATTTTCACAACTCTGTTTATGGAAGACCACCTGGAGATCTTAAAATTCGCCAGTTATCTGTTTCCATCTTTCTTTAAATTTACGTATTTATACATCTTTACGCTACTTTACCTATAAATGCGCTACCTGCTTTATTTGTTAAATAGTCTTATTGAACAGATCTAACTGCCTTCTAAAGTATGATGAAGAAGTAATAACTAAATTTCATTATTTTCCTCCTCTTCCATTGGTGATTCATCATGCATCATATATCCACCCGTTTTTGGCATTGACATTTCCCATAAGAAATTAGGGCGGTTTCTGTTTCACGCAATAAGAATGGCCTCGCTTGCAACAATTTAATGAAAACGCGTAATTTGGACGCGAACGAACCCTGAATGCTTATTACTTTAAATACTTTTGTTTTATCTGGTGCGATCAACCAATTCTGCTTGATTATTTAAAGAACAAGTAATTATCCCTCAGCTAAGTCTACTTGAGCAATGTGAATATAAACTCTTAAGTACCTTTGGATCAGAGCTTGGTATTAGGTCATGATTCTTTGAAATATTTTTATTTCCACGGTTTTTCATGACTGAATTCTTTCACATTATTTAAATTACTTAAAAAATTCAATTATAATCCGATCGAATAGTAAATTGTGTTTGAGATTTAATTTTCGCAACCCGGGTGCTTATTTGTTTTGACAAATTATCAAATTAAACCTACTGCGGTATTTGTAACATTGTGGGAAATGAGTCAATGGTGGGAACTCTTGTGAAAGTTTGAAATCAATGATTGAGAAGGTCTAAGTAGATTAGTCATAATTAGCTGTTCCATACTGCTGTGAACACGTTAACTGAAGCAATTTTCGTAACTGTTAACTGTGTACATGTTAATTTTGTAACCTTCCACTTATAAAAAGCCAGCAA